CCCGTTGTATGTGAACCTTAGAATCTATCACACCCGATCATCACGTGGTGCTTCGAAACAACGAACTAAAGCAACGGTGCACAGTTAGGGGGAACACTTTCTTGAAATTATTATGAGGGATCATCTTATTTACTACCGTCGTTCTAAGCAAATAAGATGCATAAACATGATAAACATCACATGCAATCAAAAAAGTGACATGATATGGCCAACATCATTTTGCTCCTTCTGATCTCCATCTTCGGGGCTCCATGATCATCATCGTCACCGGCATGACACCATGATCTCCATCATCGTGTCTCCATGAAGTTGTCTCGCCAACTATTACTTCTACTACTATGGCTAATGGTTTAGCAATGAAGTAAAGTAATTACATGGCGTTATTCAGTGACACACAGGTCATATAAATAAAGAAAACTCCTATGGCTCCTGCCGGTTGTCATACTCATCGACATGCAAGTCGTGATTCCTATTACAAGAATATGATCAATCTCATACATCACATATATTTCATTCATCACATCCTTCTTGGCCATATCAAATCACATAGCATACCGTGCAAAAACAAGTTAGACGTCCTCTAATTGTTGTTTGCATGTTTTACGTGGCTGCTATGGGTTTCTAGCAAGAACGTTTTTACCTACGCAAAAGCCACAACATGATATGCCAATTGCTATTTACCCTTCATAAGGACCCTTTTCATCGAATCCGATCCGACTAAAGTGGGAGAGATTGGCACCCGCTAGCCACCTTATGCAACAAGTGCATGTCAGTCGGTGGAACCTGTCTCACGTAAGTGTACATGTAAGGTCGGTCCGGGCCCCTTCATCCCACAATACCATTGAAACAAGATAGGACTAGTAACGATAAGCATATTGAACAAAATCAACGCCCACAACAACTTGTGTTCTACTCGTGCATAGAATCTACGCAATAGACCTAGTTCATGATGCCACTGTTGGGGAACGTACCAAAAATTCAAAATTTTCCTACGAGTCACCAAGATCTATCTATGGAGAGACTAGCAACGAGAGAGAGGGGAGTGCATCTACATAACCCTTGTAGATCGCGAGCGGAAGCGTTCAAGAGAACGGGGTTGAGGTAGTCGTACTCGTTGTGATCCAAATCACCGATGATCCTTGCGCCGAACGGACGGCACCTCCGCGTTCAACACACGTACGGTTGGGAAGATGTCTCCTCCTTCTTTATCTAGCAAGGGGAAGGAGAGGTTGGTGGAGATCCAGCAGCACGACGGCGTGGTGGTGGAAGCAGCGGTGATCTCGGCAGGGCTTCGCCAAGCTCAGCGAGAGGAAGAGGTGTCATGGGAGGGAGAGGGAGGCGCCAGGGGCTAGGGTGTGGCTGCCCTCCCCCCACTATATATAGGGCCCCTAGGGGGGCGCCGGCCCTAGGAGATCCCATCTCCAAGGGGGCGGCGGCCAAGGGGGGAAACTTGACCCCCAAGCCAAGTGGGGCACACCCACCCCTAGGGTTTCCAACCCTAGGCACAGGGGGAGACCCAAGGGGGGTGTACCAGCCCACCAGGGACTGGTTCCCTTCCCACTTCAGCCCATGTGGCCCTCCGGGATAGGTGGCCCTACCCGGTGGACCCTCGGGACCCTTCCGATGGTCCCGGTACAATACCGGTGACCCCGAAACTTTGCCGATGGCCAAAACTGGACTTCCTATATACAAATCTTTACCTCCGGACCATTCCGAAACACCTCGTGACGTCCGTGATCTTATCCGGGACTCCGAACAACTTTCGTGTTACCGCATACTAATATCTCTACAACCCTAGCATCACCGAACCTTAAGTGTGTAGACCCTACGGGTTCGGGAGACACGCAGACATGACCGAGACGACTCTCCGGTCAATAACCAACAGCGGGATCTGGATACCCATGTTGTCTCCCACATGTTCCACGATGATCTCATCAGATGAAACATGATGTCGAGGATTCAATCAATCCCGTATTCAATTCCCTTTGTCTACCGGTATAGTACTTGCCCGAGATTCGATCGTCGGTATCTCGATACCTTGTTCAATCTCGTTACCGGCAAGTCTCTTTACTCGTTCCGTAACACATCATCCCGTGATCAACTCCTTGATCACATTGTGCACATTATGATGATGTCCTACCGAGTGGGCCCAAAGATACGTCTCCATCACACGGAGTGACAAATCCCAGTCTCGATTCGTGTCAACCCAACAGACACTTTCAGAGATACCCGTAGTGCACCTTTATAGCCACCCAGTTACGTTGTGACGTTTGGCACACCCAAAGCATTACTACGGTACCTGGGAGTTGCACAATCTCATGGTCTAAGGAAATGATACTTGGCATTAGAAAAGTTTTTAGCAAACGAACTACACGATCTTGTGCTATGCTTAGGATTGAGTCTTGTCCATCACATCATTCTCCTAATGGTGTGATCCCGTTATCAATGACATCCAATGTCCATGGTCAGGAAACCATGACCATCTGTTGATCAACGAGCTAGTCAACTAGAGGCTCACTAGGGACATGTTGTGGTCTATGTATTCACACATGTATTGCGGTTTCCGGTCAATACAATTATAGCATGAATAATACACAATTATCATGAACAAGGAAATACAATAATAACCATTTTATTATTGCCTCTAGGGCATATTTCCAACACTTCATACCCTTGAATATCGCGAGACGGAAGCATTGCAAGAACGCGGATGAAGGAGTCGTACTCGTAGCGATTCAGATCGCGATGGATTCCGATCTTAGCGCCGAACAACGGCACCTCCACGTTCAACACACGTGCAGCCCGGTGATGTCTCCCACGCCTTGATCTAGCAAGGAGGAGGGAGAGGTTGATGAAGATGGATCCAACAGCAGCACGATGGCGTGGTGGTGGTGGAGTGGCAGTTCTCCGGTGGGGCTTCGCCAAGCTCGCGCGAAGGAGGAGAGATGTTGGGGAGGGGAGGGGCTGCACCTTGGATGTGGTACTGCAGCCCTCCCCTCACCCCTCTATTTATAAGGAGAGGGGGAAGGGGCCTGGCCCTCTCTAGATGAGATCTAGAGGGGGGCAAGGGGGAGGGGGCTTGCCCCCCAAGCAAGGGGGGCGCCCCCATTACGGTTCCCCCCTAACCCTAGGCGCATGGGCCCTAGGGGGGTGGCGCCTAGCCCACTTAGGGGCTGGTTCCCTTCCACCTACAACCCATAAGGCCCTCAGGGACAGGTGGCCCCTCCCGCTAGACCACCGGAACCCCTCCGGTGGTCCCGGTACAATACTGGTATACCCCCAAATATTTTCGGTGACTGTATGATGACTTCCCATATATAAATCTTCACCTCTAGACCATTCCGAAACTCCTCGTGATGTCCGGGATCTCATCCGGGACTCCGAACAATATTTGGTAGTCACATACAAATCTTCCTTATAACCCTAGCGTCATCGAACCTTAAGTGTGTAGACCCTACGGGTTCGGGAATCACGCAGACATGACCGAGACAGCTCTCAGGCCAATAACCAACAGCGGGATCTGGATACCCATGTTGGCTCCCACATGTTCCATGATGATCTCATCGGATGAACCACGATGTCGAGGATTCAAGTAATCCCGTATATAATTCCCTTTGTCAATCGGTACGTTACTTGCCCGAGATCCGATCATCGGTATCCTAATACCTCGTTCAATCTCGTTACCGGCAAGTAACTTTACTCGTTCCGTAATGCATGATCCCGTGACTAACCACTTAGTCACATTGAGCTCATTATGATGATGCATTACCGAGTAGGCCCGGAGATACCTCTCCGTCATACGGAGTGACAAATCCCAGTCTCGATTCGTGCCAATCCAACAGATACTTTCGGAGATACCTCCAGTGCACCTTTATAGTCACCCAGTTGCGTTGTGACATTTGGTACACCCAAAGCACTCCTACGGTATCTGGGAGTTACACAATCTCATGGTCTAAGGAATTGATACTTGACATTAGAAAAGCTTTAGCAAATGAACTACATGATCTTGTATGCTTGGGATTGGGTCTTGTCCATCACATCACTCTCCTAATGATGTGATCCCGTTATCAATGACATCCAATGTCCATAGTCAGGAAACCATGCCCATATGTTGATCAACGAGCTAGTCAACTAGAGGCTCACTAGGGACATGTTATGGTCTATGTATTCACACATGTATCACGGTTTCCGATCAATACAATTATAGCATGAGTAGTAGACAATTATCATGAACAAGGAAATATAATAATAATCATTTTATTATTGCCTCTAGGGCATATTTCCAACACTCATATGTAGGAATAATACATCAACAATTAGGCAACAAAACAAATGCCCACACAATGTATACTTTTCATAGTCGTACACACCAATCAATACAACAGAATATGTCATGACAAATAACTGTCGTGTGTTTTTTGTTTTTTTCAGGTGGAGAAATCAAGGTCTGGGGAAAAGAACAACAGATGATGTGGTGTACTCTTTTCTTCTCATGGAGTGGAGGTGTTATCAGAAGCAAATGACATGACAATTCCATTGCTTTTTTAGTTTACAAATGTACTTTTGGAAAAATGTTCAAAGATTTGTAGTAGTACTAGTACTGAAAGACTTGATGTCTTCCTTTTTTTTCCAAATTATGCACCCGTATTGTTTTTCTATTTGCGATGGTTCATCCCAGATGTTGCCATTGTCATGAGAATAAGCATGCCATGGTTTTTGCCTCTTGTTTTCCCCTTTTTTATTTATTTTTCAGGCATTTAGAGGTGGTTGGTTGAAGCAGCATGAGCCGACACCTGGGTTGAACTTGGTCGAAATCAACCACAAGCTCAAGGTAATGTTATCACAATTTTTATTCATAGCATTTTCCAATACCCATTTATAGTTGTAAAAAACACATCAACTTTGCCTAAGCTTGGACAAGCAGAAAAAAGTTGCTTACCATGCATATTACTCTCGCCAAAGATGAACTCATAATTGTGCACCACATACACAGTAGTTGCTTACCATGCATAATCGGCGAGCTGCAGCAGCACGTCCACCAAGTCCCTCGCTGCAGCGGACTCGCCGTGGCCTGCTCCGGTAGCCATCGCCACCTTGCGTCGCTCCTCGTCGTGCTCGTCGAGAATCCTCTCGAGGAACCGATCGTACACCTTGCCCAACCGCTTCATCCTCCGGACGCAGCCCTGCACGTCGAGCCACCCGAGCCATGGCACCCACTCGCCGACGTTGCTCACCGCTCCGGTCACGGCGAACGCCTCGTCAAGCGTGCGCCGGAACTCCTCACCCTCGGCGCTGCCGTAGCAGCCCGACCACTTCTCCCCGATCGACATGCGGAGGACATTCCGCAGCGTGGCGTCCGCCAGGTGCTGCCGGACCGCAATGGCACGGCCGCGGCATTCGAACAAGCCACACACGAGCGCCCGGAGCTCCTGTTTCCGAATATACTCGTACGAGTCGACGCGGCGTGGGGAGAAGAGCTCGGTGGCGCAGAGCCTGCGCGCCATACGCCAGTATGCGCCATACGGGGTGTGCACGATACCAAGGTACCCGTACGCGGCATGCTCGCCGGCAGCGGTGCGGGGGCGGTCGGCGAAGGCGAGGTCGTGTGTCTTGAGGACGAGCCGGGCGGCATCGGCGGAGGAGGCGACGACGGCGTGGTAGGAACCGAGACGGAGGTGCATGAGCGGGCCGTGGCGCGCCGCGAGCTCGGCCAGAGCCCGGTGCGGTGGGAGCGCGCCCGCGAGGGCGCCGAGGCTGCCGAGCACTGGCCAGCCCCGAGGTCCCGGCGGGAGGTTCAAGGCCTCACTCTGGCGGCGCCGTGACAAGACGGAGCTGAGGACGAGGACGATGAGGATGGTGACCAAGGCCATGGCCATGGGCAGTGTCGGTATGAGCTCCATTAGTGGAAACGTTTTGGCCTTGGCACTACTTGGGTGTGTATGTGTGACCAAGCATTTTCAGTGTAGTTTGTGATGTAAAGTGGTTGGCTGTAACAGATTTCTCTATCCAAAGCATGAAAGGTATGCAGATGGGTGTTTGTGTCTTTGCGATACATAGTAGGTCCTGATTCCCCTCAGCCCATGTACGGAAAATATGCAGATAAGTGTTTTGTGTGTGTGATCCACGAGGAGACAGGTCCTTTTCAGGGTGCAGGCTGGCACAAAAATAGAGTACTCAGTACTCCTACATAGTGACGTACTTCCTCGGTAAACAAATATAAGAGCGTTTAGATCACTATTTTAGTGATCTAAACGCTCTTATATTTTTTTACAGAGGGAGTACTAGTAGTAGTCTGTTAACAATTATTGGAGTAGATGAAATCGCGTTTAACCAGTCAAGCATCTTTTTTTTAGTTGGACCAGTCAAACATCTCCGATCTATACTCATTTAGGCCCTTCTAGGAATTGTAAGAAAAAAGAACTGAGCGTAGCTTAGTTGGCAAGGCGCGGGAGTTCGCAGTTAGCCCACCAGGATTTAAGTCTCGGTTTGAGCGTTTGGTGCTCATGGAGTTTTCTTCTATGAAAAAATGCCAACAGGGTAGTCATGACATGCATGTTCAGAACAAAGTGCTCAAAGAAACTCAAAACTAAGAACAAAAACATAGCTCAACGAAACTAAGCTTATTACGGCTCAACGAAAACATAGCTCGACAAAACTAAGCTCCTAATCTTTTCTATAAAAATATAACTTATCGCCATGCTCTAACATATATAGATGAAGTGCAAGAGCAGATTCTACAAAAGCCTCAATTTAAAAAGATATAAGTGAAAATCGATGAGCATTCCATAAATAAAAGACCAACGTGTGTCTTTTTAAGAAGTGTGATCAGAACATAATGATTGTCATGACCAGCAAAGAAAACTAAAAAAAAAAATGCTCCAAGCAAAGCACATATCATGTGAACAAATAAAAACATAGGTCCAACCGACACATACGATAGTTATTAAAGACGAAAGAGGGGATGCCTATCGGCGTCCCTAATCTTAGACGCTCGAGTCTTCTTCTATATTACCTTGGGGTACCTTGGGCATCCCCAAGCTTAGATTCTTGCCGCTCCTTGTTCCTCTCATATTGATGTCTCCCCTCTATTTTAAAAACTTTAGCCACACAAAACTCAACAAAACTCGTGAGATGGGTTAATACACATAAAAATAAATCATATGATCATGCATTGTCAAGACAAGTTGCATAATTGTTTTCAAATATTAGCTATTGAATTCTATCATTTCTACAATTTATATCTCTCAATACAAGCCATAAAAACTCTAAAACAAGCAGTTAACAAAACTATAACATCAATCTATCAAAACCATAACAGTCTATAATGATCTAACCTAAATGCATACTTTCGTAACTCTAAAAATTCTGAAAATAGTAAGTGACAGAAATTTGTAATGAAGTATTGTGTAATTTTTTTTGGAAATTAGTGTGCTCCAGTGGGAATGAAAATTCAAACACTGAGCACAAAAGTTTCTGTTTCTGCAAAGAACCTAACAAACATGCAATTGCAAGGGTCCAAAGGCTCAATTTAGCATAGAAATGAAAGAAAGCGTACAAACATAATTACTAATTTAGCAATAATTATGTTGACACACAAAAACAGTAAAGATAAATATTGAGTTTCCTTTGAAGAAGCGCTTTTCTTTAATGCCTTTTAGCTATGCATAATGCAAGCATCAAGTTTTATCATCTTACAATTCCTCAATATGGCAACGTGATTCTTCGGAGGATTTGCTAGCATTCTGTTAATCATAACACTCATAGGTATGAAATCCAAAATCTTAGTGTCAAAGGCGGGTTCCCTCATTGTCTTCCTAATAGTGGGGGTGCATGATTATCATCTTTAAACCCCCTTTTCTTTACTAGTCGAATCACCAAATTTGGAATAGGGACCTTAGGTGCATAAGTAAATCACATATTATTGTTCTTTGATGTTTCCTCACTAGTTTTTATAGAAGCAAAATATGAACCTAAGACATCTGTAACTTCCTCCAATTTATCGATTCTAACAATACTTTGTTCTACTCCATTGGTATGAGGTTCTTTTCTTTTAATAATTTTAAAGCATTCCCTACTGTAGAGCCTAACTTACTAATGATTATGCATCTTTTTATCCAATTCTTGTACTTGTTGATTAGTTGCCATTTTATTTTTAGTTATATCAAATATTTGCATAAGATGATTCAAGGTAATTTCAGTTTCATCAACCTTAAGGGACGGAGATCCTATTAAATTTCCCATAGAACTAAAAGCATCTAAGGTATGATTACCCATAAAATTCCCTCCAGTGATAGTATCTAGAAAAAATCTATACCAAGTAGTAACGGCAACATAAAAATTTCTAAGAAAAATTGTGATAGATTGTTTACGAGTAGACATGTTTTGAGCATCATAAATCCTATACCAAGCATCTTTAAATTCTCTACACCCCTTTGTTTAAAATTGAGCACTTCTAGCTCGGGCGTGGAAACGATAAGTGAGGAACTAGACATAATAGCAAGATAAAAGATAACAAAAAACGTTTAATTTTGGTATTTTCAAAAAATGGCAAGCAAAGCAAGAAGCAAAATCAACTAGGCAAGAAATAAAATAGTAAATAAGGAGTTTGTGCGAAGACACCTGGTTTGCTACTAGAAGACTCCCCCGGCAAAGGTGCTAGAAATTCTTTTCTTGACTCCTGCAGGAGTTGTAGGGATTCCCCCAAAGAGGAAGGGTGAATTAGAACAATAGAAAAGTATTTCCCTCAGTTAGAGAATCAATGTTATCAATCTAGTAGGAAACTTCCAAGCTAACAAGGTAAACGACTCCTTGACACAAACAAGATAGACACTTGCTCCCAACATGGCAAGAGGGTTACATGCCCCTTGTCTTGCTAGTTACAAGATTAGAACAAAACAATAGATGTAGATACTAGCAAGGTAGTACGACAAATAAAAAGATTAATTTTGTATAAGAATCATGTAATGGAGAATAGACCTGGGGGCCATAGGTTCACTAGTGGCATCTCTATCGAAAACAACAAGTAGCATAGTAAACAAAGTACAATCGGGAAATTAACCAAATTGCAATTTTTGTAACTATGATCATTCATTGCATAATCTCATATAGGCATTACATTCGTGATAAGTAGACCGTTAATCCAACTGCATCCACTACTAATACTCCACCCAAAAGCTATCCATCATGCATCTCAAGGTGTAAAGTTTACAAAAAACAGAGTATCACAATAAGCAAGATGACATAATATAGACAAGAAGTCAATCGATATGACAAAACCATGTCGTTTTATCCTTAGTGACAACAATAGAATGCGTGTCTTGGCCGTATTTAGAGACATTATAACCGTGCATCTTTCGGGCCCTCTCTTGCCACTATCAACTCCATCCATCGGATCTGCACTTCTATACTTTTGTGGCCATTGGATTGCATTCTGATTTCGCATGGGCTTTAGTGGCAAATAGAGAGTGCTACATGGGCTGGGCAGGTGCTCCTAGAACAAAATCAGAGCTCTTATATTTATTAGGGCTTATGGGCATTACATTCGCCAGCAATGAAGATCGTGAAAAACCTAGCATCCGTCCCCATAGTATTTTTGTTTTTACTCCGTAGACTCTGTTCGTCCCTGCAGCCCTGCCTCTTTCTATCCCTCTTGTGGCTCCTCTTCTTTCTCGCTGTCTATGGACCCTGCAGCGCTAGCGCTGAACCTACTAAACGATCCTAATCGCATCACTCTACATCTATCCACTCCCCTAGCAACAACATGACCAAGAGGCGGAGACCGGTCTCCTACGACGTAAGTGTCATTCATGTTTTGTCTGATTGTTCGATGCCATTAGGTCAAATTTGGTTGGCTGCAATTGATCAATTTATTGCCCAATACCCGTTTGTTGTGTTCATAATTCAGTTGCTTGTGAGAGCACATGGGAAGAGTTTATTGCAGCGGAAAGGTTGTGTGCCCACGTGTGATTTATTTGGGAATGCTACTTACCATGTGAGTTGTATTAACGTAGTTTGTTTGTGTTCCTCTTATTCGAGAAGAGATTAAATAACATATATTTTTATCTCTTGCATCTCTACTTTTCTTCTTGCTTCTTGTGTCAACGATGACTGTTGCCTGGGTTACCTTCTTGCTTGAAGAGATTTGATTTTTGCTTGCTCCGTCTACTCCAATGCATAGTACTAATCCCCACCCTTTTTTGGTGATTGATCCGAGAAAGAAAAAGGAAATTGCTACACTAAATATTTGATTGATGAGGTGTGGCTTGTGCCGCCTCAAGATTCAGAGATGTCCTCAAGCCAGGGTGGTTTGTTGCATCACTAATCACCTCGGTTGTTCATATGTGGTTGTTTTTTTGCTCTTGCCATAATGTTCTTCTTAGTACTCTATGTGCTACATCCTTCGTTAATGTATGTGCAATGTTTCGTGACTGTAGAACCAAATGTGTAAGTGATACGTCTCCTACGTATCTATAATTTATGAAGTATTCATGCCATGTTTATAACAATTTTATATGGTTTTGGTATGATTTGATTAGAACTAACCCGGACTGATGCTATTTCAGCAGAACTACTATGGTGTCGTTTTTTGTGCAGAAATAAAAGTTCTCAGAATGGAAGATTTACGGATAATATTTTTGGAAAATATAAAAAAATACAGGAGCGAAAAGATACCAGAGAGGAATCTCGGGGTAACCACAAGGGTGGGGGAGCCCCCACCCCCTAGGGAGCCCCCTACCTTGTCATCGCCTCGTGGACCCCCTTGACTTGTCCCTGATGCCGACACCTCCTATAAATCCCAAAAACTTCAGATATAAACCTAGATCGGGAGTTCCGCCGTAGTAAGCCTCTGTAGCCACGAGAAATCAATCTAGGCCCTCTCTGGCACCCTGCCGGAGGGGGC